CTTGATCTGCAATGACGATCTGAGTATGTGCTTGAACCTGCTAAATATTTTAATTTTGCGTATTTGGCTGCTTTGAATTTTAAGTAATTTCTTTGGACAATGTAAATTTAAGAGCTTGAGAGGCTATATAAGTAAAATATGAATTTACAGAAGTCTGTAATTTATAAGTGTACGTTCATTATCTATCATATAGTTTTCACGTTTTGCCAAATAAATAAATTGAAATAAATAAATAAAATTGAAAATTCCTTTTTTTAGTTGTACTGGCCACATTTCAAGAACAATTTTCAGGCCATATGTAGCTAAAGTTACCATTGTAGACAGAAGAGCGATCCTTATTTCAGAATGTTCTATTGGACAGGGCCATTTTAAACTGTGCTGATAGTTAAGTGTAAACTCGTATTCTAATAGTAGTTTAACAGTTTAATAAGTCCAGAAAATAAAACATGAAAAGTTTTGAAAAGTCTTCCTATAAATATGTAGTGACTTCCAGCTTGAATATTTCAAACTTAAGACTGTCTAAAAGTGTACATTCGCATCAGTATCTATGCAACTTTAAAGTGAAGTTATTTCTTGCAGCAAAATTCATGAAGTAGGCAAAAGGCTAAAAAACTTAGACACATCAAATTTGAATCCTGGTCCCATAACTTAGTAATTTAGTAATTTCTGGAAAGTTATTTAACTTTTTTGAGCCTCAGGTTCCTTATATGTAAAATGGAGGTAACAATAGTTACTTTATAGAATTAATCTAAGATAAGTATGTTTAAAACTGCATAAGAGAGTGAATATTTGTAAGTGCTGTAAGTATGGAATTAAACTACTTTTATAAATCAGTTCAGTGGCATTGTTTGCATAGAGTTGTTCCCAACCTGGCAATCGTAACAGGTGTTTAGAAATGGCTAGGTCAGATATACTTGATAGAAGTTCTTGGTCAGTGTGGGATTATTGGATGAAACTAAGTTTGAAACAAAGGGACCATCAGGATGGGGAGAAAAACAAATAGGGAGATAATTGACTTTGTTCTTGGGAAGTCCATAAAGTATTTTCTAATAAGAAAAGTATTACATACTGTCTTTTGTAACTTAAAAAGTTTCATATTGATTATTTAAAATGTTATTTCTATAATATAGTAATACTAAAGAGAAGAGTTAAATGACATTTCAGAAGTTGACTAACATTTTTTGAGGTTACATAGCTAACAGGATCAAAATTCATATTAAGTTCACAGCTTTAATGCTCTTTCTGCTTCAGCATACTATTTCTTTAATAGCATTCTTGTCTCTGGTAGGCATATATTGCAGAATATTTAGGGTCTCGCATATATAATTTTTTTTATTCCCTAAGCGATTCTGGTGTCAAACTTCTAATTAAAAATCATTACCCTCTTAGTCTTGAAATTTTTACTCTATCTGTATGTATACATTGATGCATAGTTAATAAAAGAAGTAATGAGACTGAAAAGCAGTGCATTGATTTTTTTTTTTTCCCCCTGTTCCAGACGCTTAGATAGGTGATGAAAGAGTGACATTTTGAAAAAGCAACACAAGTTTAGTTTCCTATCTGCAATCTCACCTGACTGCACCGATTAGTACTTCTGGGGAACCAAGACTAGCCAACTCTGGTAGTTAAATCTGTTGATGTTCCTTTCTCTATATAAATTTTGGCTAGTTAGTAGCTGCCCTAAAGTGTTGACTGCTAAATATCTCTGGGTACATATCCTGAGTGTTTTTAATTGATTGTCTAAAGATTTTTAATAATCTTTTCCCAACTATTTTGAAGATGTTTCCATTTCCTGGATTTAGTGGTATTTCCAGACCCTACTTAACTCTGAATATCATATTACTTATAACTTTTTTCACAGTTGTGAAACCTAGTCCCCTTGTGAAGACAAAACCTCTAAACTTTGAATGAAAGATCAATGTCATAAGCAGTGAGTGAGGGGAATACTATAGTAGACCCCTAGGAAGGCAGAAGTTAATTACATTGCATAGTGAATTTTCAAAACTGAAAATGTTTTTAAGTATGCACAGACTGATTCCATTGGAAATAAGACTTTAAATTTTGAAAATTAAGTATTTGCTGTTTGAGGCATCAGTGATGAAGTTTTATAGTAACAGTGAGTTGTCTTAGAGTTGCTTATCATAACACACTTGAGCAATCAGTGGCTGCAATATGAAAATGTCTAATTCTCTGAGCACAGATAATATTATTAGAAGCTTTGATAGTAGACATTGGGCTGCTTCATTTATATATACATGTACCTTTCTCAATACAAATTTGTATTTTCTATAATTCGGATTATTTTTTATTACTAAGGCTTAAGGGAGCTTATGATTAAATTAGCTTACTTTAATACAGCATTCTGAATTCAATAAAGATTGTTTCAACTTAGTTCCTGCAAAGCATCTGAGGGATAGTCCTTGCCCCTGTCAATTTTAAAATGGCATTATATAGTACATTTATATATATATAAATTTCATTAATTATGTACAGATTGAAAATGTCTTTGTACAAATTTTCTTATAAGTAGAATAACTTTCATAATATTAAAATTAATAACATGGTTTTAATTACATGTAAAATATTTTAATTAAATACTAAAATTATTCTGATCTTAAAAATTGACTTTAAAAATCTATTGCAATAAAAGAATTAGACCTGGTCATATGTCAACATAAAAATGTTATTTTCCTTTTTATTCAGAGACTATGTTTTAGATTTCTATTTATTTTCATTGGGAATGTTGCTTTGGACTTATGGCAAAAATGTTGCAGTACTGTTTCTTTATTTTTAAAAGCTAATCTCATTTTCTTAATTTATGGTGAATTGTTACTATTTTCCTAAAGGTAGAAAATGTAATGCCCTATTCCATCAGTTGTAAGATAGCACTTCTTTGTTACACTTCTTTATCTCTTAAAATGAGATGCTTCTTAAAATTAGTGTTGATAGCGCGCTCCCCTAGCATGCATGAGGCACTGAGTTCGATTCTCAGCACCACATAAAAATAAAATAAAGATATGTGTCCACCTAAAACTAAAAAAAATAAATAAATAAAAATTAGTGTTTTATTTTTTTAATGAAGGCATTTTTTTTCCTACTAAAAAACTAATGTAAAACTAATGTCTTATAATTATTGATGTCTTATGTAAGATAAAATGTTCTAATTGATATTTTTAAGCTCATTGTAGAACTTATATTCACATAATTCTTATGTAAGATAAAATGTTCTGATTGATATTTTTAAGCTCATAGAACTTATATTCACATAATTCTTTGTTATAATGTTGATGATCTTTGTGGTTAAAAAAAATTGAAGTGATTGGGATATACCATATTATTTGGAATTATAGCTTACTACTAAAATTTGTTAGGGTGTCTTCCTATTGTTTTTCTTCTTTTCTTTTTTTTATTGGTTGTTCACAACATTACAAAGCTCTTGACATATCATATTTCATACATTAGATTGAAGTGGGTTATGAACTTCCAATTTTACCCCAAATGATTGTTTTTCTTCTTTTCACTGATGCCATCCTAGTTGGTGCTTTACACTAGACTGGCTTCCTGTCTGAATTTTTCATTGAGAGATATTCAGGATACTAAGAGAAAAATGGCAATTGAGAAAAGGCTTTCAATTTGGATGGGGTGGGACTAGTAGGTGAGACTTCCAAGGTCAAGAATGGAGAGAGAAAGAAAACTTAGAGGAAGTGAAAATAAACCTCATTTTCAATTTATCCCGCTTCGCTTCTCTAGAAATCTTTTCCTGCTTAAGTCTCTATAACATAGTAGCTTGTGAACTCCCTGGTTATTAGCTAAAATCACTCCAGATATTCCCTAGGTTCAGCTAACTCTTCTCACCCAGGCTTTTCCTTTCCTTATTCTGTAGAAGTTGTCCTATGGGCTGCCCATCTTTCCCCACCGTCCAGCTGGTACTTTCCATTCTGTGGACCAAATAGAGTTGTGTTTTCTCTGAATATGCTTTCCCAAAATGAATCATTAAAGGGTAGCCACGTGTTCTGAACAGTTTTTTTCTTGATACTCTTCAGTAATAGCATGTTTTAGTTATTCTGCATTTAAGAGTCACAAAGGATATCTGACTAGCTCTATTTAAGGCAGGATCCTTTTAAAAAATAAAATTTAACATTAAATGTAATTTAAAGTTTCATTATAAAATATAAGTTGAGAATCATTTTTTTAAAGAACTTTTGCTTCATAATAAGGAGTTTACCTTTGAATAATTTTGAGTACGCTATGGACTTTAAAATACCTACAGAGTCCTCTGGAAGCCAGTAACTGCTGTCTGGAGTTGGCTTGGTATTGTCATGGAAAATAGTTATGAAGAACTGCTGCATATAATGTCCAAAATCTTCAAATTTCCAAAAGTCTCTTTCATAAAACCTTTGATCTTTGTGGTTAAAGAAAAAAAAAATGAAGTGGTAGGGTTATACCATATTATTTGGAATTATAGGCCTCTACTAAATTTTTTTAGTATTTCCTTTCTATTGTTTTCCTTCTGTCTGCTCCAGTCCCCTCCCGCCAAGCAGCTTTGTAAAAATCTCATATTCAGGGTGATTTCCTTTTGTATTTTAAAAATTGTATTTTATTTTCATGTCTTTTCAGTCATGTTACACTCTAAGCTTTTCTGAACTGTTCTTGGAAACCAAACTAATAGTGCTTAGTAGGAGAACGAAAATGGAGTCCAGACAACTGACTTAATTGATTTTAGAGCAAAATCCTTTGCAAGTTTTAAGATTCTGTACTATTCTTGCTTATAGTAATGCATAAATAAAATGGAAACATGGGATAGTGATGTCAATGGAGATAAACATGATTCACTTATTCATGAGTAGTATTTTTAGTATGGATGCTGAGTTTTGTGTAATTCTGATAAAAGATACTTCAAGTATGCTGAGATCACTACTGTATGTAAACTAGCATTCACATAAGTCTTTTTTCAACTTGCTAACTAATTTTATTGTCCTGAATTCCTTTTTATCCTACAGAGGATGTACTGAGTAAAGATGCTGGGGAATGTGCAATATGTCTTGAAGAATTGCAGCAGGGAGATACTATAGCACGACTGCCTTGCCTATGCATATATCATAAAAGGTAAGTTTAGTTTTCTACTAACCAAGTTGATATTGGAGCAAAAGATGGCTATTATAGTTTCAAACATTGTGATTAGGTCAGAAAGGTTGTTTTCGTCATTGAAACCCCTCCCCTCAACTTTTTAAAATGTAAGGGCCTTTTTTCCCTTGCTATCTAAGACTTGAACCCCACATCTTTTGTATTCAAAAGGCTATTCTTTTTTGTAAGCATTTACCATGACCCAGTTATTGTCCATAGCTTCTTAAATAGGTATCTTGTGTAAGCCTTGTAACAATCTCACTTTACAATAGAGAAAATAAACTAAGGTATCAGGGAATATTTTCAGGGTTGCATTGCTACTAGTATTGGAAAATTCAGTGTCAGAAAGATGTTATTTTATCCTAAACCTCTATATAGTTAATACTAATCCAATCAAACCTCACCTAGTTTTTTTTTTTTTAGTGTAATCAAGAGCCAAGGGCAGGAACAGTGAAGATACTCATGAAAAATACCATGTTAGAGGATTTGTCCTATACACATTTATTGCAAGACTATATTAAGATAGTATGGAAATGACACAGGTAAACTATTGGGACAAAACAGAGTTCATAAATATTCATATGCCTGTATGGACAAAGAGCATAGCATGAGAGTTAAGAACATCAATTCTGAAGTCAGGACTGTCTCTCCTCCACTAATGTGTGTTCTTAGTCACATTATTCAGTTTTTCTCTCTGAATTTGTAAGATGAGGACAATAATACCAACTTAATATAGTTACAAGGGTTCAAATGAGTTCAACTTTGGGAAGTGCTGGCACTGATAGATGCTATATAAAGTTTGTTGAATAAATGAAAAAATCGATTTGCCAGAGATAGTATTACAGTGTCATAGAGAAAGAATAAACTGTTCATTAGATGGTGCTTTGATTGATTATTTATTAATATGAACGGTTGAATTCCTGTTTTATTTTGAAATACAAATCAATTCCAGACTGAAAATCAAAATCTGAAGTCTTGGGGAAAGAATATGGGAAAATGTTTTTGACTTCTTGGTAAAAAATTATTTTTCCTAAGATAATACTACTCCTGGAGTGGGGTGGGGGCACAAAACTTAAGATTGATAAATTTGATTATGTTGAAATCAAAAACTTACTAGTGACATGATACTGTGAAAATACAAACTGATCTAGGAGTGTGACTTTCAACATAACAACAGAGGTTTTAAATGTGAAATAATACTCTTGTAATGTGGTTAACTCATTGCACTTGTTTTAGTGGAAGGCGATGATAATATAATGACATCTTTTATTGGGTTATATATGATATTTCCCAGCACATAAAATTTTGCTGCATTGAATAACAGCAAATAAAAACATATGCTAACACAACAAGCCATAAAAGAATACCCGTCTCCCCATGTTCTTATTCTTAGTTCAAGTTAGCCTATGGGATTTAGCAGTACTTATTCACAGTTTTGTCTTTGTAACTCATCAGTTTCCATCCTTCCTTAATCCTCTTTGACTGATGCTAACTTCACTGTTGTTTTTAAAACATTCTGTATTTACAATTGTGTTTTATTTATTAGATATGAATGTCTTTGTTCTGGTTGCAAAGTTGTGTTGAGTGATCTACCCTTAATTTGTTTTTTTTCCACATAATTTCTGTTACTTTTAGTGTATGATTTTGTAGAAAGCAAGTTTTATCAAAAACATGTATATTATATTGTAGAATAATAGCTTTCTAAACATAAGAAAAAGATAAACCAAAATAGAAAAATTATAAAAATTGTTAATGATTCAGAAAAAAGGAACCTCAAATAGTGAACAAATAAACAAATGTAAATTCATCTATTTAGTGGACACTCTTTCCTTTTCAAAAGTATTGGTAGAACAGAGGGCTTTTATAACAAGTGGTTGGGAGCCTCAGCAACTTAGTGTATGCAGTACTTTTACAACAACTCAGTAATTCCACCTACAGATATATGCCTTAGAAAATTTTTTGATCTTTTGCTCCAGACAACACAAAGTTCAGGACCAGAGGGAGATAAGGAGCTCATGCCAGAATATAATTAAAAAAAAAAAAATACAGTTTATCTGGGGGTGTGGCTCAGCGGTAGAGCGCTCGCCTCGAACATGGGAGACTCTGGGTTTGATCCTCAGCACCACATACACGTAAATAAAAAAAATAAGGATGTTGTGTTCAACTACAGCTAAAAAAATAAATAAAAATATATTTTTTTAAAGTCAAACTGAGTAGTGACAAAATTAATTTATATTCTGTTTCAAGTTCCTTTCAGAGTATGTTTGTAAATCATTGGAAATGTCTGTAAGTAATAGAAGAGACACAAAAATTTTGGTATATTTATATAACAGAATACTATATATAATGGAAATTTTAAAAAGTGAACCTTATTAACAATCACAAATTTTAAACAAATTGAGAGAAAAAAAGCATTAATTAGAAAAAAACACACGTAGAAATGGGTATGGTAGCATGTGCCTGTAATTCCAGCAGCTCAGGAAGCTGAGGCAGGAGAATGGCAAGTTCAAAGCCTGCCTCAGCAACTTAGTTAGGCCCTAAGAACTTTAAACTGTGTCTCAAAATAAAAAATAAAATGAGCCGCAGCTCAGTAGTTAAGCACCCCTGGGTTCAATTCTTGGTACAAACAAAAAAGTTAGAATAAGCATAATATGTTGTTTTAGAACACACATGTATATAGTTATAGAGTAAGAAAATAGCTAAGAATGAAAAGCTGGGGACAGGAAAGGGAATATAGTATTTTAAATAATCAGTGAAGAATATTTATTTAAGAATGGAGAATATGTGGATTGAGAGCATTTTATATGAAAAACACCTGGGATTTTAATAATGACTTTCACATTATGAGCCAGTATTACGTGGCTAAAAAAAGTAAATAATAGTACTCAGTTTAGGTCACATAGCTACTATTCAGAGGTACTATTGTTAATGTATCTGAAGTATTTTGTTCAGGTCTCACTCCTTCCTTTTCAGAAGTATTGGTAGAACAGTGGGCTTTTATAACAAGTGGTTGAGAGCTGGCTGAAAACAATGTCATAAGCCAAATCTGTTATGAATTTAGAGAACAAAAATCTTAATGGCAACAGAAATTGTTATAAATATTTGAAACATGGATGGGGCCCTTCTTTGTTGTTTTTGAGGTGGGTTTTTTTTTTTTTAAATTGCCCATGAACTTGTGGATTCAAATGAATTTCCCTCCTCAACCTCCCAAATAGCTGGAATTGCAGGCATGTGCGACCATGCCTGGCTTCTTTTACCGGTTTTTATCATTTTTATGTACTAAACCAACCTGTTATGATATGAGAATGATAAATACAAATTTTTCCCTTCATCATATTAGGTAAGCTAACCTTGTGGCATAATGCAAATTTGACACATGTCACCAGTGAGAATGTTGAATAGTTTGAATCCTGCTTGGAGAACTTAATGCCTGTTGGGAAAGTTATTTAACCTTCCAGGACCTTGATTTTATCATCTGTTGTGGTACCATGAATTGGAACTTCATACAGTGATGGAAAGTTCTGAATCTGTGCCGTTTGATAGAGTAGCCATTAGCCAGCCATATCATTGTTGCACACTTGAAATGTGACTGAGGATTTTTTCTTAATAAACTTAAATTTACTCCTTATGGCTATTGAGTACTTCACTGGAGAGTATAGATCTACATTGAGGATAATTATATGCACCCTGATATTTAACCTCTAATAAAAAACAAGATTGTGAAATACTTTAAATTCAAATGGATGTCAGTATATTTATTTGTGTATGTATATGCATTACAGAGCAGGATAGAATTAAAATAAGTGTTCAGTAATCATATAAATGTGATCTTAAAATATGATGTTGTCAAGAATCAAAATTTGATAAATGACATGAAAAGGTTGATATGTGCATAACTATTTTGAAAGGAAATATTTTTCTAAATCGCTCCTTTAATTTTGAATAAAATAGTAGTTCTTGATAGTTCTTGAGTAGTTCTTGAGATTGTCTTTAGGAAATAGTTCTGTTTAAATTTTCAAGTGTTTCACGGTGTAATTTTGTAAAGGTTTTTTTTCCTTAGTGGCATAGAATAGCTCCCCCTGACACCCAGGTTAGAGGGGCTTCCCCCTAAACACGTGCTTGCTGTGAATAGTAATGTACTCCTGTAATCCTAGCAAATTGGAAGGCTGAGGCAGGTAGATCACAAGTTTAAGGCCAGCCTGAGTAAGTTAGCAAGACCCTGTCTAAAAATAAAATAAAAATGACTGGGGATATAGCTTAGTGGTAGAGTGCCCCTGTACCTCAAAATAATAATAATAATAATAAAATAAAATACCCAGTATCTCACAAAGATTAGAAAAAATAAATGTATGCTTGTGTTTTATTTGAATATACCAAATATGGCCTTAAAATTTTTTTCTTCCAAACATATGTTAAAGTCAAGAAAGTAAACATTTTTATTATGGTTGACATAGTTATTAGACATATCTTTAAATTAATTTCTGGTTTTTTCTTTTCTAGCTGCATAGATGAATGGTTTGAAGTAAATAGATCTTGTCCTGAGCACCCTTCAGATTAAGCATCAGATTCCTGTTTTATAGGTAATTCTCCTTTTGTTTTACTTTTTAAAAAGCTGTCTTGAATTACACATTTTCAGTCATCATTTTTATTCATCCTTATTCATTGTGATGCACATGCATGTGCCTGTGTGTATATGTATGTTTCAGATACTTTGTTAGACTGTTGTGTAGAAAACTCACTTTAAAAAATGTATTAAAAGTGTCAGAGGTGTCGCTTAGTGGTAAAGTGCAGTGTTTAGTATACCTGCTCCTGGGTTAAATCCCCAACAAGAACCCAAAGTAACAACAACAAAAAAATGTTATTCATTCCTAAGTAGATCAGATGTTGATAACTGCTACATTCTCTTAAACCACATTTGTTTATTTATAGTTTAGTAATGGGGAAAAAAATTAAAACAACCACCACCACCCTTGAAGTACATATTATAACCCAGTTTTCCCAGCAAGAAACCTGAGGTTCTTAGTATTCTAAGTTCCATGATAAGTAAGGGGAAAAAAATGGAAGCAATTTCTAGGGACTGGGTATGTGCTCAGTGGTAGAGAGGAGTGTTTGAATCCAGTGCACCATGCGTGCTAGGCAGTCCCCAGCAGCACAACAACAACAACAAACAGCAAGTTGTACCAAGCTCTTAAGTTGCATATATTAAATATGTGCCATTTTTGTATGCTGTTTATTCCTCAATAAAGTGGTTTAAAGAACAAAAAAGAAAAGTGTCATCAGAAGTTAAAGGTCAATTAAAATTACAGTTAGCAAATTAATCAGATCTCACACTCTTGAGCATAACCTCAGATGTGTTCTTAACTAATGTAACATAAGTGTAATCACTTAGAATTGTTATATTCCAGGAAAATGTTCCAAATACTTTATATCCATTTCTTGTTTAGTTGTTACATTGACTCTTTGAGCTCAGTACTATTACTACTTCTTTTCAACAGATGAGGAAATTAAGTAGAGAAAGTTTAAAAAACTAGACTTGTCAAGGTCACATAGCTGGTTTATTAGTGGAGTTGGAATTTGAACTGAATAGAATTCTGACTCTAAAGACTATGTTCTTATTATAAATAGGTATAAGCATTTTCTTCAGAAAGTTGCATCATTAATTTATCCACTCAATCATTCATCCTTATATTCTTAGCATGTTGTAGTAGTAGGCCGTATATGTATGTGTGTGTGTGATTTTGAAGCCAAATGATTAGTTTTGCTCTGATGATTTAGCTTTTGTTCTGCATTACCTGAAAATGTTTAGTGAACTGAAGGATATTTTACCTGGGTATTGCTTTTCTTCATAATCCATGAAGTAAATTAAATGGCATGATTTAGTTTTAGAAAAATACAAGTTGACTTAATTGCTATCTTCAAGTATATGACAAGCTTTTAGGAAAGGACCGTTTTATGATGCAACACATTGGATTTTTATATCAAAGCAGGACATTTTAGCTCATCTTGGAATTCTTTCAGGAGTTAGAGTCTGAGTTGTTAGAGACTCATAGTTTTGCTAAATGAATAGTGTTACTGATGACAAGTGATATCCTGAGGTCTTGTCCTGTACTGTTCTACCATTTCCTGCTCTTAAATTTAAAAATATAAGTGTTGTGGTTATAAACACACAAGGAATTCTGTTGCTGTATTGATGAGGTTTATTTTAGGGTAGCAGATTAGAATGTTGATATAAGAGATTTGAGGTAATTTAATAGCAGTCCTAACAACTGAAATGAGAACTGCATTGAGTGAGATTTTTTTCATAACAGTAAGGCTGTGCATGTGAAATGTGAAAACCTTTTGTGGTAGAGTAGTTAAAGACTATCAATTGATGAACCTTTTACTGTGAACTTAGATCATGCCTTGACACATTGAAAATATGAACTGGGATAAGACTGCTAGTTAGAAAAGTATTGTGATGGAGTGGGTACATTTTGGGTACATGTTCATGTGTGTTTTTAATCACTATGAAAAAAGGTTTTTGAAGGGAATACTTTGGAATGCTATTAGTGTTGCTTGATGATTAGGCCCATAAATTAAAATTATGGCTAAAATTTTAGAAGCATGTCTAGAAAAGTACTAAAACCCAACAATAATAAAATGAAATTTTTATCTTAGTATTTTACAAGCCAAATTAATATATCTAAATCTTTCACCTACAGATAAGATTCTTCCTTTTAATTATCTTTGTGCATTCACACTGCTATAGCAAAAGACCTCATACAGTTAATTTATGAATAAAAAAAAAGAAATTTATTGTTTATAGACCTAGAGACTGGAAACTACAACATCAGGTACCATCAGATTCCAGGTCTGGTGAGAGCTTGTTCATCATTTGCGGCACCTTCTGTTTATTCTTAGATAGCAGAAGGGACTTAGCCTCCTGAATAAAGCCCTCATGACCAATCACCTCCTAATATTATTGCACTCGAGATTGGGTTTCAACATGGAAATTTGGAGGAGATACAAACATTCAGTCCATGATGGCGTCAGTAATTTTTTTCTATGAGGTGGAATTTTTAAATTAAAAATTTTTTCTTTAGAATCACAGTGAGCTTATGTGACACATGGAACACACATCTTCATTCAACAGACAGAGATATGTCAATTTTAAGCAGGATTTCTGGTTCTTTACATATTAATGTTATCTTTGTGGGATTTTAAAAATATAGAATTTTAAGTTTTGAAACTAACTTACTATGTGGGGCATGTTGAACTGTGTAGTTGGTTCCCTACAGAAATTTGTACCAGTGAGGTCAGTCTTCTAAAGACCTTGAAGAATCATTTTTAAGAATTTATATATATATATATATATATTTTTTTTTATATATATATATATATACACACACACACACTATTTTTTTAAAATTTTTTTGTTGGTTCAAAACATTACAAAGCTCTTGACATATCATATTTCATACATTAGATTCAAGTGGGTTATGAACTCCCATTTTTACCCCAAATACAGATTGCAGAATCACATCGGTTACACATATATATATACTATCTTAACTCACATGTTTGTTTCTGTCCTGACTGTTCTTATTTGTCAAGTGATAAATTCTTTGTTCCTTTTTCTAGCCTACTGGCAAAGTATATGGGTTTGAAGAGGATTTGGTGTTGTTAAAATACTAAAATCAGAAAGAAAGAAAGTATATAACAACAAGGTCCAACATTTTTAATAACTAAGAATTCAGGTATCAACCCAAAATAGAGATACATGAATATCTCAGGTCTTGATTAGGAAATTGTTTGCTATTTTTATATTGAGATTTTTAGTTACATGGGGGAAGTTTTAAAAATGAAGTTTGTGTATTTATGTGTATTCTTTATGCTCATGTAGTTTTTATTGTGGAAGAGGAATAGCTGTTAGGTACTGGCAAATTTTTGTAACTATGTTAAGCTTTATAACTGGTCCTTCTGTGTCTTGATTTCTTCTGCAAAACATTAGTTTTACAAGTTTTTAATAGTAAATAGGATATGAAAATTTATAATTACTAAAACCATGTTCATGAGGAAATGGATATCATGTATTGATTTGTATTACTATGATGAACCACAGCTTAAACTAAATTTATCTATTTTACATAGGTTTTCTTGTCTTTTCAAGATGCTTGAAAAATCTAGAGGATTTGAGGATCTGTCTCTGGAAAAAAAAAAGAATGCAGGCTTACTCAGCCAGAAATCTGGGTTCTGTGAGACTTGGTAATACAGAGATGGACAATCACACAAGAAAAAAGAAAAAACATCCTGCTGAAGAGAGGACAGTAACCACAGAACTCAGTGTACCAAACTTGCATATAAGGGACACACAGGGATTTTGAAAATGCTGCACATCCCTTAATAGTCATCTACATAGGTAATACTGATGAACATTTTGTATTCAGACGCCAAAGTTAACTGATTTAAAAGTTGATTTACTTTTTATTCAGTTCTCTAGAGCTACGCAACTAGCTGTGTTTTGATTTGTTTTGTTTTGTTTCTTTAGTTTGGGGTCTCTCTTATTTCCCCCAACATAATGTTTCTGCATTCACTTATTCTTAAATTGAAAAACCATATAAGTTACTTCTCATGAAGTCTTAAATGTGAAACCAAGAAATGTAATCAAGCAGTAAAACATTCTCTGAATGTAGACCATGATCTCAAGTTCTTCCATTTTTTCCCCCAAGTGTGGAAAACTAATTTCTACATAGGAAAACTAAAATATGTTTGTTTTTAAATTAAAGGTTTAATATTATCAGAATGCTGCCCAAAGAATAAATCAAGTTACATAATTACATTTTAATTAAATAAATGTAGAAATTGTCTACTGAATTGTAGTTTATGAAATATATTGTTTCCTCTTAAATAAAACTGCTCAACATTTAATCAGCAATCATCTTGCAGCTATGCAACTTTTAAAATAATATAAATTATTCATTTTAAGTGCTGCCAGCTATATAATAACTTTGTTTTAACGGGTATTTTTTTCTTTTTTCATGTAATTATTTTATTGTACTTTGCATCTCCAGGCAGTTTTCCCACATTTGGGTAACATGTGTAGCAGAGCATAAGCCTAAAATTTATGAAAAGAGTAAAACAGAAATTTCTGAAGTGGAAGTTGGAATAATTTGAGGGGTATTTTATATACCTTTAAACATCAGGATTTAAAATTGGGATGTCAGGTTTATAGCAATTCACACCTTTAATTTTCCAGATAATCTGGAAGTTAACATTTGATAAATGATTTTTTAAAGCAAAGCAAATACAAAGATTTTGTTAATTTATAATTTATTAATGTGTTACTACTCTTATTGAAAATGTTAGAGACTTTTAAATTGAGCCTTGTGTAGAAAAAAAATGTATTAAGCAAAATTATGTGAATAAATATTCCCCCAAAATATATCTGAATGGTTAAAAATACTGGAAGAGAGCTATCAGGGCTACAATAGTGAATGTCTTTAAAATATATAAGTAGATTTTGCATTTTCAACATAGGGAAAATGTTATCAGTAAATATTTAGGCAGTGCACTTTACTTAGTTTAATTGAGAGTTGCACAATACTGTTTCCTTATTTTAAGCTCTCTTTAATGTATTTAAGTATTTGCTTTTAAATTTAACACTGCTGCTCTTATTTTCCTTTAGTTTGTTTCCCTACTCTATTGCTTCTGTTTCATACTTTATAAAAGGGCAATTACAGGAGCAACTGCTGCTACCCAGAAAAATTTGTGTATTATGAATAATTAAAATAATTTTTAATTGCTTTTTGTATGATTTCAAACTAGATAACATTTTCCCTCAAGTTATGCTGTGAAAAATGCCATTTGTTATGCTGCAATTGCTAAAAAGAATCCAAAACCTCCATTGTGTCAGCCAACAGCACAGTTTCATAGGTGCTTTTTTTAGTAGTTGTAGAAAATTATTTTCCCTCAAGGGAAACATTCTTAACTTTTTTTCATAAAATCTTAGTTTGAATTTATTTCACATTTTCAATTGTGTAAGCTTTTGCATCCTCCCCTCATGTACTCCCCCAAGGAAAGCCTCTTAGACTGTGAATAATTAATTTGTTTTCTACTACTGGTATATTGTGATAAGAATTACTTTGTTGTCTTCCATTCTTAAGAGATTTATTATAGCTGTGGTAATTAATTGTTTATATTCTGGAAGTTGATTTTCTGATATAGCTTACTTGTAAACTTTACTTTTTGAACTGTACCGGCTTAAGTTCACTTTTCCTTGTTTACCTTGTCCCATATTCTCAGTCTTAATAATTTAGCCTATGTCTATCATAAGGCTCTGTGCTGCAGCTGCTACAATTGAAGCTCCTGGGATTTTAAAGAAAGTTTAGTGTTTGTCAGTGTCGATGCTACTTGATTATTAATATTTGTATAGAAATTTTTACTGAAATCTGTTTAAAACAACCCCTTTTGTTAGCATTTACAAAGTTATTATTTTTATTTTAAATTCAATCTCTAATGACTTCTTAGAATGAAGAATTTAGGGAAAAGGAGGCGGTGGGGGGAGGGGTAAGCTCAAATGCTCCAGTTTTTATTCAAAATCAAAGTCATTATTCTGGAAAATACTATAAGTGTTGGTCTATAATGTCTCTTATAATATTTGCAGTCTGTATGCAAACACTGAATAGTATAAGTGGGACATAAAATTATGTTGGATATTTAAATATTCAGCTGAAACTACTGAACACTAAATATTATGGAAATTAAAAGCCTGGATTATCAAGTTGGTTTATAGCTTTCTAGAAGAATCTTTGTAAGTACTCATCTTTAAATAAGGTTACATGTGCATATATAGAAAGCAATATGTTTTTAAATTTCACTTTAGTGCCACTTTTTGTCCATAATGGATTTATTGCCAATTTGACATACTACTTTGATCCATCTTTTTTTTTCTGTTTGCCGGAATGTTTAATATCTGACTCTTTACCAGAGAAATAGTAGACTAACTATAGTCTTCATGTTTTGCAGATTTAGTTACAAGTCATATTATATATTGTTTTAAGAGCCATGTTTAAGATTGAAATATAAACAATTGTTTCTATAACTGATTTTTGGTGATAAAAGAAACATTGAAAAGTCATTTTGTTAACTGCTGCATAATATATAGGTTTTGGTTTCTTAAGTGCAAATCTTATATTTCTTTTAAATGTTGTATGATTATTTCAGTTTTTACCCTCTAGAATGTAGCCCCAAAATGATGAGGACCACCTTAGCATATCTGCAGTATATATTAGATTTCATTTTCAATGAGTTAATGAAAATGGAAGAATTCTTTTCAAAGCTTATTTGACTCATGGCTGTGTTTCTAAGTAAGGGTATGGTGAAGTTTAAGGGCAATCATTTAAATATTATAGCAAGTCATAGGGTTATTCCTTTAAGTGAAAAATACTGTAAATTCAATGTAAATATTATCTACTTTTATGTACTGACTTGGAGAGTGGAAGATGGGAATTTTCTCAACAGTAAGCTACATTTGAACAAAGCATGAAACTTTTTTAAAATTCAAGAATAGTTGGATTTATCACCTAATTTATACCCACACTATGCATTGGTAATAATATCCAAATTATCTTATTCTTTCACAGAGGAAGTTTCCATTTAAATCAGAGTGTTGGAAACTGTGTAAAACTACTTAGGGGTAAATGGTGCTTATTAAATATAAGTACAATTTGTTAGTTGCTAGAAGTCTTCTAGTTCATTTGGGCCATTTTCTTGCAATTTTGATTTATCCTGAAGTAAACTCAGTATATAGTAATAATGAGTAATTCAACTTGAAGTGTCATTTGTTCACTGTACCTTGTTATTATACAGGTATTTTCTTAGTTTAAAACAAAAACAAAAAAACTAGCATGTCTGTGCTTTGTTTTTGGCCCATTCTCCTATTTTTCCTGAGGTACGTAACTTCCGATATATATATTTTTTGCAATGTTGTAAATAACAGTGATTATATTATTCATTTTACTATCTACTGTCTTTCCTTCTTTACCCAGATCTTTTCATTGTAAAACTGAGTTGCCACTTGGTTTTTTTTCAAAGGAAAGTGCTACTTGGTGTACTACAAGTAGTGATTCATATTCAGGAACAGCTGGTAAAACTTTTTTGGTAATAACTTCCCAAACAATACTTTAGTGCCATATTCTGTGAATGCTGTGCTTAAGCTAGGAAACAGAATGTTTTTTCAATCACCCGATTCCTGTATTAAATGGGAAATACCTGGACTCCTAAGTTAACTGATTTTCTGTGGACAGTAAAAGGCTTTGACAAAACCAGGTGTATTTAATTATTTAGTTTTAGCTGAAAATGCAATGTTACTGTACTGAGCGGAATTGTTTGATTTTCAGTTATTTAAGCCATTATTAATTTTAGACCAATGGCTAATAATGAGATAGATTTTTGTTCATAGAGAGAGAACAGCATGACATGAAGTAACATTTCAGAAATAAATGGAAGCATTTTAAGTGATACTGTAGTAACTTTTAACCACACTATATTTCTTAGCTCTGCCCTTGACAGTGAGGTGTACCTGTCACGGACACTGCCTCTTGGCATCAGAAGTGACTGAGTTCTTCTGTAATTAAATGTTCATGCTTTCCTTTTCCGATTTGGTATGTTGAAATTGGTGAGCACTGATCATTTGTTTGATAAACTTACAGTGCTGCCTTGTATCCTGTTATTAGTAAACTTGGTACCAGTATTTTGAAAATGTTTCATTATTATTCGATTTTGAGTATTTGGGTGCATATAATAGAGTTAGCATACTCTAGAGGGAGATACAAAAAGTACATTGGAATTTGATGATGATTCTGATTATCACTTCATTACATTTCTTTCCAGTGACTCTTTATGTGAGTTTCATTGTTTGAAAATCATGGTAATGATAGGAATTTATTTACCTCTGTTGTTTTATTGCTTTATCCATGGTTTCCACAACTCTTTTGTAATACCTCTTAATTTCCTCTATTTGAAAGTATTTTTCTGTTAAATAAGTTACAAAAAGTACCAGTCACAACAAATAGAGAAAATGTATTAGGAACAACTTGTATTAGTGTGTTCTAAACTAAAATGGAACAATTCATTATTGATATTTTAATAAATAAACTTCCAAATGATCTTGCTAAATTATCCCATTATTTAGAAGTGAAAAAAATAATGCTTTTAAGGAAAATCGTCATATTTCCTTTGTCCATAAGTTGACAGTATATTATAATAAAACTGAGAAATATCTGAATGCTGAAAAGTTACCATGAATTAATTGATGTTATTGCTTCTTTAATTTTGTATATCCATTATCACAAAATTGACCCCAAAATTACTACTTAAAATTCTGTAACAGCTTAAGAAATTATTGTAGTGTCGATGGACAAAGAGATTTTTCTTCATTATTTAAGTGAAGATATACTTTGAAATTTCTAATGTAAAACCTACCTGTAAATTTTATAATTGAAATATGATTGGAGAGCTGTTAAGTTTTGAGGAGGGATGCTCTGCTAGTATACAATCATAGCTTTTAAAAGTTGTAGTTAGTAGCATTCTGCTGTGTTTTAGAAGAATAATAAATCTTTGGAAGCATAGTTTTCATGATATCAGAGTTACTGAATTTTGTGGCATAGTAATTAAGAACCTGAGTTCTAGAGCCAGATGGCTGGACATTGAGCAAGATAATTTCTCTTATCCTCACTTTTTTCTGTTAAAAAAAAGTAATATCAATTCCTATATAAGGATTATTTTATTAAGTGGGAAGGTACATATATGTAAGATCAGGCACATAGTAAGCTCTTAATAATATTTGTGGCTAATACAAACAAAAATTCTGTGCCCTTCTATGAATAAGTTTTTGTTATTCTGTCCAGTCATGAAGTGTGATAGTAATATCTTAAGACCTTAATTGATGTGTTTAAAGAAGCTATTAATAGAGAACTTTATGGGTTCTTATTTCCATGCTCATAAAATCTAGTGACTATTGTCTCAATAACCAAAAATTAAGCATTATACAATTTGTGCATGGCTAGGACCAAGAATACAGAAATGAAAGATGGCTGCCCTCAAGGAACTTATTTTATAGTGGGTGAAGCCAAGAAATAATCAAGCATGTAAGGAGAGTGATGAATGCTGGCAGAGGTAAACACAAGCTGTTGTGAAGATACAAAAGAGTTATTAAACTCAGACTAGACGAGAATGGTAAGTCTTCAAGAACAAATAGATCATACCTCTAAGGAACTTGGATAAAGGAATATGCCAATTGTGAAGTTTGGGGATGGTGTTCTTAAGGCAGAAAACAGCACATATCCAAGATGGAGAAAAGCATGAGAGTCTTCAAGACTTACTCTGTCTAGAGAGGTAAGCAAATAAAAAATCTTGCAGAGATATGTACACAAAATTATGATTTTCGGAAGGAAAAAGACAATCATACATTTCAGATTAGACAGATGGGATTAGAGGCAGAGAGAAGTGTTAGGAAATTTATAATAATTCAGATAAAATGATAAAAGCTCTAGATTATGATTCCCAACCCATTTTAATGCACCTGATACAATTTCATTGAAATAGTCACACAATTGAAAACTTGAAACTTAGAGAGTGGAATTGACTCATTTTAGAAGTCATTTGCATATAAGGAAATGAGAGACAAGCCCAGGAGTATAACTTCTAGTATTCTTTTTACATCTTGAAAGGTTGAATCTCTACCTGGCAAAAGTGGATTATGCCAGTGTATCTGTTGGGGAATCGGAAATAAGGAACACTAATTCTAAACTGAAGGAAATAAATTTTAAGTGGGAGGCAGAGCCTCAAGAGAGAAGCCAGACATGAATATTTGGCAAGTTGTGAGAAAGCAGGAAGTGTGATAAATGCATGTGTAGTCTTTTATGGTTCAGGAGGTGTGTAGATACAAATATTGCCAACCCTGTTAGCAGTAATTGTGTAATTGGGGTACACAAAACTAGTTGAACAATGTCTAGCTTGGTGGAGTGGAACCTTTCCTAGAATTCCTCTCTGCCCCTAGCTTCAGATGCCTGTCGGAATAGGACCATGCTTTCCCAGAGTTGCTTAATGAAATACTTAGATGCACTCACTCATTCTTGAGGTGTTTGTCTTTGGTTCATTTATCCTGCACTTTTATGTATTTTCTCAGCAAAAAAGAACTACTGTTGGAAGTAGGGTCTTATAGAAATAGATATATGGAAAAGATAGATCCTGCCCTACTGATAGAAGTTGCTGTTTTGGATAGGTTGGGTTAGGCTAAGTAGTAGGAGGGACCAGAAGAAATTTAACCCTTTTTAGAAAGCTGTGATTTGCTGCCACCCACATCATGATCCTTCTTATTTCGTGAAAGAAAGGAATGACAACTGGTTGATTGACGTTTAGTTCTTGGAGGAACAGCAACCTTGGGATAGCTTTGTGGCTCAAGGAAGCAACTCTCCCCACAGATTATTCAGTCAAATACATCATGGCCATGGGAACACCAATATAAGTTTTTACAAAATTTCTCCAGATTGTTTCAGAGGTTCTCTTGCCAGATATCCTATGACTTCAGGACAGCAAGGCCTAAAATGTTAAAACCTCTGTTTTTGTAAATATTACATGATTTAGATTTGATTCCCACATAAAATGCTTTTAAAATTACTTTTCTGAAGTATCTTAGTGATGCTATAATTATAAAAGTTTTAGAATTCTGCCATATAGTGCCTTATTCCTGTGGTAACATTTTCTATGAACTTTTGAATTCACTGTTAATTATTATATAGAATTTAAAGAATTGCTAACCAAAAAAAAAATCTTTCAAAGAAAGTTTGAGATTTTAATGCTTTCTGATTGGCTTGATCATTTAGTAGCTATTTGACTATTAAGGTAACAACATAGACTTCACAACAGTGTAAATTTATATTTCAGAAAAATACCAAATAACTAAGCTATTTAAATACACAAGCTGTTATCATTTAGCATGTAATCAATATAAAAAATTATCAAGTGTTACATTTTTTTTTCAGACTTCGAAATCTGCTATGTGTTCTATATTTAACAGCCCATCTGTATTTGGAATAGCCACATTGTAAGTGCTTAAGAGTTAGGCGACCACTGGCTACTGTACTGAATATGAATAGTAGGGGTCTGAATGACTTTACTCTGAGAATCTTTTTGACTCCTATCTTTATCTGTACCTGGATATTTCTGAAGACCTTGTAATTACGTTGTTAAGATTATTGGATCTCTTTCAAAGTTGATTTAACTATTAAACGTGCACAATACTTGTCTTATGTTATTATTAAAATTGAGTAGTATCTTAAAACTTTAAATATCTTTAAAAGGTTGAGGATGTCGAGAATCTCTTTATGTGCATTCACAGACAGCACTGGCTTTCATTATGATTATAGTTTTTTGGTGAGGGCACACAGGCTTTGATTAACTGGTCAGTCTCAGGAGTCGGTATGTTTGTAAGCTCTTACCTACTTGTCAGTATGAACCATGAGCAGTTCTGATGAGTAAGTTCTAGTCAGATTTTTCCCCTGGGGTTGAGTTCTTTGGGGGCATTTTCATGAATGTTATACCGTCTAGCTATAGTTGACTTTTTGCCATGACCATTAAGCTTGTCCATAAGACCCTCTGTCACAAAATGGGAGTACTCTGCAAAATGCAGCATGAGAGGCAGCAGTAAGTCAGGTCTGCCATATCTTGAGTTAGATGCAGTTTTGCTTGCCTAGGGATTCTGTGCTGAAATGCCATGGTGAATGGAGTCAGGTAAGTGGTGGAGTTAGTATTTAAGGTTGGTCTGCACACTGGGAAAGAGGACAATATGCACTTCTGCTTTAGGATTCCCAAGCAGGGATTCCTGAGCCAGTGATTCTTGATCAAATTTTTTACTTCAGGTGAAAAGACTGCTCTGGTATTTTTAAGAATTCTTCCCAATTCTGGTTCATAGAATAAAACTGCCTGGTTCAGCTAGGCTCTGATCCTTGATTTTCACAGCAAAGTTTTATGGATTCCTTAAAGTCCTTTGTACCTCCAGAACTTGGCTCTTGACTAATCCATACCCTTTGACTTTCAGGCTTCTATCTCTTCCTTTGGATTTTAAAAAACTCAACTTTTGACACTCAAAACTGAACAAAAATGTTTGTAATATCCTCATTGTCTCTTACTCCTGAAGAAGCACTTTTCATCAAGTCTTATAGCAAATTCCCATAAGCAATTGGGAACATAAGAAATTAAGTACCAGGAATGAAAAATATAGCAGTTAGTAATTCAAAATTGCATTTTTAAAACTCATCAGTGATTAGAAAGCACTGAGGCTGAAGTATATAAGTAACTGCAGTCTCTCTTTTTCATTCTTAGCTTTATGTTGGTTGTCTTCGAAAGTCTTCACACACTGAAGAACAGTGTGTGGCTGTTACTTAAACTAGAATGCAGGGTTAATAAAAGTGTTGGTTCATTTATTCAGCACATATCTATTAAATATTTGATAATTGTAAGATATTGCATATAAATTGATGGGGAAATGATAGCTATGAAGTTTATGGTTCAGTATTAGTAGCAAAAAGGTTGGTAATCAGTTATAATAGAGCAAACAAGTAATGTGGGTGTTTGAAATCCATAGTTTTTGAATAAGCATTTGTGTCAGATGTCACAAGGAATAAGGTCATTACAGTCATGGGAAAAACCCTTTGTTGGTGATGTAATGGTTTCATGCCTTGTGCCAGGCCACAGCAAAGGTGAGAACAGATGGAAGTGTCCTATAAGTTCCAGGATTGCAGTAGAGCCAGCCAGCCAGATTTGTTAGTCTCTTTTCAGAAGGCTGTTTCCTCAGTTAGCACAGTGTTATATTTCTAACCTTCACTACTTTTTGAAAGCAGCTTTACTTTAAGTTGCAAATTCTACACAACAAAAGCACCCATTATAAATTTGCTACCTGATGATTCTGGACAGATGTACATACCTGTATAACCATGACCACAACCAAAGTAGAGAACATTCACATCACCCTCAAAACTTACCTCAAGTCCCTTTATAGTGGGTTGCTACCCATTTACCCTCAAGCCCAGGCAGCCACTAATATGTTTTATGTTCTGTTTATAGGTGAAATTTGGTATTATTCTATTTATCTAAGTCTTATTTTGCTCAGCGTAATATTTGTGGGAAGTATCCACATTGTTTGCTCAGTAGTGTTCCATTGTATGAATAAATATACCACACTTTGTTATCTTTCTATTGGTGGGGGACTGGGCTATTTTTAGTTTGGGGCTATTATGAATAAAATGGTTATAAACATTTGTATACAATCTTTGTGTGAGCATGTGATTTCATTTCTCTTCAATAAATTACTAGGGATGAAATTGCTGAGTAACGTTATAAGTATTTATTAGATATTGACAAACTATTTTCCAAAGTAGCTGTCCTATTTTACATTCCCACCAGCAATATATGAGGGTTACAATTTGCCCATTATTGCCAAAACTTAGTGTTGTTAGTTCTTTAAATTCTGGTCATTCTCTTGGGTAGGTAGTGATATTTTATTGTGGTTTTAGTTTTAATTAACCTAACGATTAATGACATTTTACATCTTTTTTGTTCATTTGTCATTCTTTTATATGCAGTGCTAAGAATAGAACCCAGTGCCTTACACATGTGAGGTAAACTTCTTTGGTAAAAAGTTTGTTCAGTTCTTTATCCCATTATTTATAATAGCTTCTTTGAATATAACATAATACCATAAAATTCACTAATAGTAGTACATACGAATAATTGTTAGTATGTTTACAGAGTTGTGCAGACCTCAGCATAACCTAATTTTAGAATATCCTTGTCACTCTAAAGAAGCCTCTTACTCATTAGCAATCATTCCTTATTTCCCCTTCCTCCAGCTCTAGGCAACCATTAACTTACCTCCATAGGTTTGGCATTACTGGATATTTCATAGGTAATGGTATCATACCCCAAAACTGGTCTTTTGCATTTGGTTTCTTTCACTCAACATAATATTTCACCTTAACACATGGTTCGTGTATATTAATTATTTCCTTATTTTTACAGAATAGTATGGCTTTGGGTATACCATAGTTTATCTGTTACAGAAATTTGAGAATTTTTACTTTGGGGGGCTATATTGCTATGAACATTTACCTTCAGTTTCTGGTGGTTCTGCCTATCTACTGCTTCTGTAGCACTCTCATCCTCTTGGTGCTACAGTACTGGCTTTCTCTTGATTGTTTGCCTCCAGTATAAGTATTGTTTCCCCAAATACCCCTGCACCTGAGTTTACCCCACATTCTATTCCAAATCAGTTTAACTCCCCATAGCAGTGAGGCTAAAACCTTCCCAGCCTATTCTACCCTGGTACAATGGCAGTGCTACAGAACTTGGGTTAGTGGGTAGGAGAGTAGGAGCAGACTCAGGCTAAAATGTCATAGCATCCCCTCATTTTTGTCATGCTTCAGAAGGTTTCTTGATTCTTGTTTTGTTGCATGCCTTTTATCTGCTTCCAAGATTCTAAAATAATTATTTTGATAGTTTTGTTAAGTCTTATCATTGCTGTCGAGAGAAAATTTGCCAAACCTTTACCCATCCATTCCTGAAGTCAGACTGGGCTGTTCATTTTTTTGTTGTTGTTGTTTGTATATCTTCTTATTGAGTTCTAGAGGAGTTCTTTTGATCCATGTAAGCTTTTACCAGATATGTGTTTCATAAATACTTTCATTCTGTGGCTGGACTTTTTGTTTTAATATGAAAGTTACAAATTTTAATGAAGCCAAATTATTAGTTTATTCTCTTTCTATTTTCCTTTATTTGTCTTAAGAAATTCTTCCTGGGCTGGGGTTGTAGCTCAGTGGTGGAGTGATTACCTCACATTTGTGAGGCACTGGGTTTGATTCTTAGCACTGCATATAAATAAATAAAATAAAGATCCATCAACAAGTAAAAAAAAAATATTAAAAAAATTYTTCCTAATACAAGTGTTACAAATCAGAGGGTTTTTTTTTTTTGCTCAATTAAGATAGAAAATATGAATAGGTAAGATAAAACCATCCAAACTAGGCTTTATTGAGGCTTATGCTGCAGCACAAGGGAGTCAGTACAGGATCAGAGTTACAGACTGACTCCTCAATGACCAGAGGAGTAGAAAAAGGAGGTGGGCCTGTGTAGGTGCACAGTCATCTGTTAACTGCAGGACATACTGGTTTGCACATTCGTACTGGATCCATCTGAGCTCAGTTGTCATAGATGGTATCATAGATGGTAGGGGTACTCATCTCTACCACCAAAGAAGTGGGAAAATTCCCAAGTCCAAAGGGAAGCAGTGTGTCCTCTGGACCTCTGAGAGTTGTGGAAGTGGGGAGTCCAAAGGGGGAACTCCTGAGCATCTGGAGGAAAGGAGAGTCTTCCAGAGCTTCTGGTGGCTACCACCAAAGGCAGAAAAACAACACTGGGGAGGGTCAGGCTTTCCTTCACTTTTTTTCCCCCCACCCTTTGGATACTGAGGATTGAACTTGGGTACTCGACCACTGAGCCACATCCCCAGCCCTATTTTGTTTTTTATTTAGAGACAGGGTCTCACTGAATTGCTTAGCGCCTTGCTTTTACTGAGGCTGGCTTTGAACTGTGGTCCTCCTGTCTCAGCCTCCTGAGTTGCCAGGATTACAGGCGTGAGCCATTGTGCCTGGCTTTTCTTTCTTGTCTTGCAAGGTCACAGAGATTCTTTATCTAGCTCTTATATTTAGATCTGTGATATAGTTCAAGTAAATTGTTGTATGTTGCATAAAGGTTGGGCTTTATGTTTATCCACATGATTCTTCAGTTTGTTCAAGATTATTTTTTTAAATTAGTATATTTTCCGTATTAACTTGGCATATTGAAAACTATGTGGGTTTTTTCTGGGCTTTTTCTCTTCTGTTAACCTGTGTGGTCTGTTACACCTATGCTAATGTCTCAGTGCCTAGATTACTATAGATTGCTAGTAAATCTTAAAATCCTCACCTTCAATTTTGAAAGAAATTTTTACCAGGTGTAGAATTCTAGATATTTTCATTCAGCACTTTAGATCGTAACTGCTCCATTCTCTTTTGTCTTGCATAGCTGTAGGCAAGAAGTTTGCTATCATTCTTTTTTAAAATTTATATATATTTTACAATTTAAAATTTTTTAATAATTGATTTATAATTGGACATAATACATGTATCATAAATTCACTATTTTGAAGTGTGCCATTCGGTGTTTATAGTGTATTCACAAAGCTGTGCAACCATCACCACTAATTCTGCAACTTTTATATCACTTCATGAAGAAACTCTATACATGACCAGTGTAACTTCATATCATGTATAATCATAAGATTGGGAAGTTATACTCCATGTATGTATAATCTATCAAAATACTTTTACTGTCATGTATTTAAAAAGAACAAATTAAAAGAAAAAAAGAAACTCTAGGCTGGGGAGGTAGCTTAGTGGTAGAATTCTTACCCTGTACAAGGCCTTTGGTTCAATCCCCAGCACCACAAACAAAAAGAAACCTTATGCTTTTTAGCAGTCACTCTTCATTTCCCCCTTCCCTTTTTGCTCCAGCAACTACTAGTCTACTTCCTGTCCATATGGATCTGCCTATTCTGTACATTTCAGTAAGTGGAATCATACAATATAAGGTCTTTTTTGTCTGGTTTCTTTCATCTTGCATAATGTTTTCAAGGTTTATCCATGTACCATCACTTCATTTCTTTTCATAGTAGAATAACATTCCACTGCATGGATCTTACACATTTTGTTGATGGGCCTTTAGGTTGCTTCTACTCTTTGGTGATTATAAATAATGCTGCCATGAGCATTATTGCAGGAGTCTGTGTAAAAGTATGCTTATTTTCCTCTGGTGTATACCTTAGAGAAGAATTGTTGGGTCATTAGTTAAGAGGATTTAACTTTCTGAAAACTGCCAGTCTTTTTGCTGCATATTTTACATTCCCAACAGCAATGTTGAGGGTTCCAATTTCTCAACATTCTTGCCAAAAACTATCAATTGTCCGTGTTGTATTATAGCCATCCTGTTAGTTGGAGGTTGTGTCTCTTGCCTTTGATTTGCATTTCCATAATGATTAATATGTTGAGCATCTTTTCATATACTTATTGGCCACTTGTTCAACTCTTTGGAGAAATGTCTGTTTAAATCCTCATTTTTAAATTATTTTTTCATGTTGAGTGTTAGGATTCTTTTGATGTTCCGATTCTAGACTCTAACGTGATCTGCAATATTTTCTACAGTCTCTCAAAGGCCACTTTTTTGATAGTGGCCTTTGCCGAAAAAAAAAGTTTTTTGTTTGTTTTGCAGTCATGGGAATCTGACCCAGGGCCTCGCGGGTGCCAGGCAAGCAAGCACTCTACCACTGAGCTATATCCCCAGCACCCAGAAAAGAGTTCTAGTTTCTATGAAGTATAGTTTATCTGTTTTGTTTGGTTTTGTTTTTCCTTCACTGCTTGTACTTCAGGTTCCATCCAAGTAACTAGTGCCTAAGCAAAGGTCACAAAGATTTACACCTGTGTTCTTTCCTAACAGTTTTATAATTCTAGCTCTTTATATGTAGTTCTTTGATACATTGAAGTTAATTTTTGTACATGACTTGAGATATAAGGATCTAACTGCATTTTTTTGTGTGTGTGTGTGTATGCAGATTTCCAATTATTCCAGCACCATTTGTTGAAAACCTGTACTTCATGGTGCTGGTATTTGAATTGGTAGGTCAAATCAGTGCAATGTTCTAAAAGAACCTTTCTTTGGGATAATATAAAAGTAAATATGTGGGCTAAGGGTGTAGCTCAGTGGCAGAGCACTTGCCTAGCATGTGTGAGTTACTGGGTTCAGTCCCAGCACCACACACACAGAAAGTAAATATGTAACTACTTAACCAATTAAAAAACAGTGCCACCTCAAGTCCCTCTATTTATGGATAACCACTGTTATCATTTGGTGAATATGGTTCTATTTTATTATTTTGGTGATAATATCATACCACTATTGAAGTTTACTCATTTTCATTAGCATTCTTTCATTATTGAAATTTTAAGTTGTTTCCAGTTTATACTTTCACACCAATAGAATATGAGTTCCAAGTTTCCCCATTCTTATGCAAAACTGACTTTTGTCAATAATTTCCCATCTTTATTAGTCTAATAAGCAAAAATGTCAGATTTCATTACATTTTTGTCATTGTGACTATAGTTGAACATCTTTATTTTTTTTTTTTTTAGTATCCTGACCATTTCTTTGTGAATTACTTGTTTATGGCTATTTTC